CTTCCATATATGTTCACAATGCTTAATTAAAATTCAAATTTTAAAAATTAAAATTTTAAATTGATTAATTTACAACCATTGATCATTTGTTTGGATGGCCAAGATCGGTTAATAAGGTTAACATGAAAGGGTTGGTTAGCATTTGATCTTGGCTCTATATATATATATATATATAAAAGACTTGGGATCACGTGAGACCGGTATGTTTTCATGAGACCCGTGAGACCACTCTTTTACACTTGAAACTTCGCAGCAAAATGTTGTAAAGGTAACATTCACAGTGTTTTTGTTGTAAGGACGTTTTGTAAGTTTGAACTTTGTTCATATCAGCTTAGGTCCCATTTGGTTTGAAAGAATGAAATGTATTTGGGGGAATTTGCATTTCAAATCTATTCCAACCTCATGTTTGGTTTGTTGGATTGTCCAGATTTAAAATCATAGGATTTAATTGAAATCCTTCAAACATATGATTTTGAAATCCTTAGGGAGTGCTCGGGATTTCATGGGATTTCGTAGGATTGTACGCAATAAGGTTTTAAAAAATGTTAAAAACAATCGTTTTGTAATTTTCGATTAATAAAAATATAATTCAATTATTTTTATAACTTTTTTATAATTTTTTCTATAAATTATTTATAAATAATGAAATCCAATTTCATTTCAAACCCTACAACCAAACGCACTAATGATTTCAAATCAATTATAATCCAAATCCCTCCATGAAATCCAAATCTTTTAGGTCGTAATAAACAAACTTTTATCATTTTTATAAATACTAGTTGTATACCCGCGCAATGCGACGGGATGTGAAATTTTGAGAAGATGTAAATGGGCATATCTGATTACGGATAAAAATTTATATTTGGTTCTATCAGGATATATATTTGAAAAGATGTAAAAAGYTCTATCAGTATATATATTCAACTTCTTACGTAATGCGGCAGGATGTAAAGGTTCTATCAGGATATATATTCAATTTTTAAATATTATTTTTTTGCAAAATATCTTTCAAATAGTTGGTGGTTCACATCTATATCAAAATCCGAAAATGAAAAATTAATACAATTTCTCATTCATAAAGTCTAAAATTTATGTTTGAAAAAAATAGAAATTAGAATCATGTTTTTGTCATACACAATCATCATTCAAAACTTCTTGATACACCACATTTGATGTGTAGACTCCTTCCTGGTTGAACTTTTTGGTAGGTTTCACTAATATCTTCGTATTACCACGTGATATCCCTCTGGACAATGCCACATAAAGTTGGCCGTGCGAGAATACTGATTCCGGTAGATAAACACCTACCACCGGAATTGTCTGTCCTTGAGCTTTATTGATTGTCATGGCAAAACAAAGTCGAACGGGAAATTGTTTTCTCTTTAATTTCAAAGGAAACATATCATCTTCAGACGGACATAGAGGAATTCTTGGTAAAAGTACCCTCTTACCAGCATGTTGGCTAACAGCTATTTCTGCATCGATAGCATTCTGCCGAAAACCTCTACATATCAACCTCGTGCCGTTACACAATCCATTTGAGGGGTCGATATTCCGCAATAGTATTATTGGACATCCAATTTTAAGCCGGAGGTAATGAGGGGGCGAACCGCTAACAGTCAGTGAGTTTAAGAACTCCATCGGATATAAGTTATTCTTGTCATCTTCTGCTTCATCAAAACTATAGTAAATTTTTTCCTCTCCACAGAATTTTTCAATTAACTGATCATTAATCTCGTCGACATGCTCATTTTTAGTTGTTAGTATCGCCCTCGAAATGATATAATCTGAAGCAGTCTCACAGCTTTGAAGAGAAGGAAAGATTGCATCAATCAAAGCATCATTCGACTCATTTTTACCTGTGTAAGGAATGATCATGTCATCAGGTATGCGAATAAAGTTTCCGTCTACTGATTCTTCATCTCCATCGCCGACACGTAACAGAAAATCCGAAAACCATGGATCAGTAAGTGCTCTCATATTGATCGTTAACCGCAACTTTTTAATCGAAGACCAAATATGTGACATCCGTAAGCTTGAGTCTACGATCTGTGCTCGAGTACCATGTCTGATCACTATTTTCCCACCAAAAGGAAGTATCACTCCAATGATGTCTTGCATTGTTCTATCGAGTGCCTCTACTGCCTGCCTCTTTGCCATTGATGCTTCATCCCAGATGATTATTTTTGCAACTCGAAGTAGTTGAGTAGTTCCGCTTTGTTTTTTATATTGCACATCGAATTATTATCAAGAGTAAGGGGAATCTTGAATTGAGAGTGAGCTGTTCTCCCCCCTGGCATGTTATTAGCGGCAGCGCCGGATGAAGCGGTTGTGAGAGCAATAAGTCCACGGGAACGAACATTAGCTAGCAAAGCTCTATACAAAAATATTTTTCCAGTTCCACCCGGTCCATCTACAAAAAACACAGTTGGACAATCATTATCTACATGCCTCATGATCTCATCAAATGCATGTTTCTGGTCGGAATTTAGAGAGTTTCGAGCATTTAAGTCTTCGTCTTGCACAATTATGGAGTACTCCTCTTGTACCTCACGAAATCCTCGTGATTCTAAATTGACAGCTGCATTTAAACTTGGCAGATCAAAATCATCGAGGTTTTTACCCATAGATTGCAAAAGACTGCGATGTCTGTAAGAACCATATTTCGGACTCCCTCAACATTTTCATAGTCTCGTCTATAATCTTCAGAGAGTGAATCATAATGTTCATCTCATAACTTGCGAACATCTCCCGGCTCACAATAAATCAAGATCAGCGCGAATAATCGTCTAAGAGCATTGGAAAACTGAAATAAGGAGGCATCAGCAAGACAATGCGATAAATTATCGTCGGTCTCTATTAAACCTCTCTCAAGTGCTGCTTTTCGAAATGTTGGATGTATTACGCCATTAACTGTGTAAAGATCTTCAAAGCACGTGGGCCCACTAATATGAGACAGAAGTAGGCGTAGATAATATCGTTCTCCTTCGGCAGGATTAGCATGAACCAGTCGTTCTCTCATTGATCCTTGTTTTCGAGGATTCCATTTACGTGAACTGGCATTCCATGTGTAATGTTTTGGAAAATCTTTGTATAAATATTGTCTCGCACTCATATATGTTCTATTCCTCTAAAAAAAATGCGGTCAACATTGAGCTCTTGTCTCTCTCTCTCTCTCTATCAACGATATCTGTCATTATATCATTCTCTCTGAACCTAACCAGCTGCTTATTAGGAAGATGGACCTGCAAAGCCATCACACAAGGGTGGATTTGAGAAAGTGAAAAGCTAAAAATCCTCCATATTGCCTCAGGTGGCGAAACATATCGTGCATCTTGAAATCTCTTTATCTCGTTGACAATGACCTCTTCTCTATCAGGATCAATATGAATAACCTGTTTGTCATGACCCTTGTAAACATACTTGAACACATATTTCACAGATATTATACTTGAGCAAACCTCAACATTGATGTGACAGTTGAACATCATTAGCAACTTTGGATTATATGGGACCACCCATCTATTATCAAGGATATTTCCCCGGACGTTCACCTTTATTCCATTGTCTCTCCTCCGATACATCGGATATGAGTTATCTGTCTGCACGGTCTTGTCGTTGAATTGTTGAGGATATCTAAAACGACATTTTCTCGGCTCACCTTCCATACAAGGGCTAGACGGTCGTAAATGGCCACAAGGACCATGCATCATATGCTTTATCACCAGCTCGTGCATTTCAGAATACTTTGTCGGGTCCGGGATTTCAGCACAAACTATCTTGTCGTAATGGTCTGGGTTTGTAATATTGTGTTCCGATTTCATTATCATAAGGATATGTGCATGTGGTAAACCACGTTTTTGAAACTCGATGACATAAACATATGCCCCAATGTCGCCGAGAATGTGCTTCTTGAAGAGTTGATTATTAAGATCCTCTAATTTGGCACGGAAAACTCTTACAACAAGGTCCGGCCTATCTTGCGCGGTTTGACCAGGCAATAACTCTTTAAGGATTTCAGGCCAATTCAGATTACACATCATGGTAAGGAATATATCGGGCTTCCCGTCATCTTGAACTAAAGTCATAGCATCCATAAATCTTCTTCGCATATCACGTGGGCCTCCGATAAAACTTGCAGGAAGCACAACCCGTTGTCCAATTCTACTTGGTTGAACCTCACCGGCATTGACGCAATCCACAACACCTTGGTATAAGTC